CGACGACGAACCTCAAGATGTGCCACACGCCGACTCCCCCATAACTTCGATCGAAGACAACCCAATTGCCAAGAGCATACAGAGGAAAGCCTCGTCCAAGGTCCAGTCCTTGGTAGAGATGTACGATGGAATAGCCAAGAGGACAACCGTCACTCCCGAGCGGCAGCCTCCCCCTCGGCGAAGTGCCAGCAGAGATTTGAACGCAAGTACAGACGATGCCTCGATCCATGACTTGGATGACTCCATATCCTCGAACGACGACGAATCAAGACCGGCGCAAGCATCCTCCACTGAAGACGTTGAGAAGGATTCCGCCAAGACTAAAAGCGACGTTGCAAACGAATGGGAGGAGCTTCGAAAGCCAAAGATTCCAGAGCACGATCCTTTCGTGGTCGACTTAAGCAATCTAGACGCCTTAGTACCTGAACCTACCTCTCTACCTACACCAGAAGACGCGGGAGATGTGACGGACCGGATCATCACCGACAGTTTCACCGGCATATCAGAACGCAAGATGTGGTATCGCCTGTCGCGCCACGAATCCCTTCGCAAATTCAACGTTGGACATGATGAGAATTATGTCCGTATCACTTGGATGAACTCCACGATGCGAGATGAGACGATGAAGATTGTGCGCAGGTGGATGGAGGAAGACTCAATGGGAGGACGCGCTTTCCGGGGAGGTCTGGCCAGGAAAGCAGGCGGCAAGTTCTTTGGCTGGGACTCGACAACAGAGTCGACGCCAGTTGACTTGGATCGGGTGTTTGGACGCAAGGCAAAGCGGCAAGCTTCCGTGCATCGACCTACCCACTCTATTCATGCTCTACCTTCTCTTTCGACGGCACCCATGGTTCCTGCGTCCAAGGAGAGCACGCCAGCTTCTGCTCAGGCCAAGGACAATTGGGGAGGACTGGCCTCATTTGGCTGGAGCACCGCACCTGGTGATTCAAAGACAGCAGAAGAAGCAAAGGCACCTGAGCGCACTAACTTCGCGAAACCGCTTCCCCTCGGTTTCCGAGGCTTTGACAACACACCAAAGTCGCATGCCTCCTTGCCTGTCTTTGCCTCCACTAAACCATTCGTGCCCACGACTTCAACGACCGATAAGCCGTCTGAAAAGGAGGCAGAGGATGAAGACGAGGACGATGAATGGGGCGACATGGTTTCTCCGACAACTGCAGAAGCAACAGACTCGACGTCTCTTCCCAAGACGAGTTGGGATTCGTTCTCGACGAACCCGCTACCCGATGCACTGCTGACCGCGCCCTCTGACGGCCCCTTGGCTTCCAACCCCAGACCCGAAAGTCTCGGCACCGGGAATAAGACAGCGGAGGAGAGCAAATCAGGAGTCAAGGATATTGGCAATGTAATCCGCCCCGCCCCCGCCTCCACACCAGCTGCACCAGCAGGCGCACCCCATAGCCAAGTCGGTTCGATTAAGCCGCCAGAGTCGACGTACGCCTTCAGACCGGCGTCTGTGAAGAAGCGACCACCGAACATCTCCATAGCGCCAAACTCGATCGACCCGCCAGCCCCATCTCACGATGGTAAAGCCGGTGTATCTGCGGGAGGGCTGCTGAACACGCCTCTAACATCGGGCCTAGGGACCCCGTCCACAGCTCAGCCGCGGAATAGTACCGACGATTCTGAGCTGGTGCAGCAGATTTTGCGGAATCTGCCTGACCTATCATACATGCTGAAATGAAACTGGGGCATCTTGAGATTCTATACATAGAAAGAGAGCGACATCGGCCTTGCTTCACCATAGAAGACGTGAGACACGGCGCCATTCATATTCTCGTTATTTTCACATCATTTAGCCATGCGACTCAGACGCGGCGCATCAGCTACGGAGTTTCTTGGGGCATTGGAAAACGGACTTTAGCAAGTGGCTTGTTGATGTATTCACGGCGTGTTTAGTATGCAATCTAAAAATATGGACCACTACTTCACCAACGATTACTGAACCTCTCCTATCTCCAAGGCCTCGTCAGGGGAGGAAACACGACACGCAGTGACTGCAGACTGACACATGTCTAGTGGGCATATGACGTGCGGCCAAGCCGAGCTGCATGACGGAGCGAACCCACTTGAGGCGGTGGGATCGGTTGGAGAGACGGAAGAAGGACGACCTCGCGCCGTCTTCAAACGCCGTTGTAGGCCGAATCGTGATCCCGATATTCATTGCCGTCTCGCCCGTACTTGCCGGGCTCAGTGCCGGGTGCGGGGGCGCGGGGGCTCCAAGGGGAGCGTCTTGGGGCATTTCGTGTTTAGACGTGGTCATTCCTTGGCCCCAGCACTGTCTTTCTCTTACACTAGAACAAGTTCGGAGGCGCCCAGAGGAGCCCAGGAGCCACAGAGAGGCGGCGGCTGGACAGACACCGGTTCTCCGCGCATCCCCGCAAGATCCACCCAGCAGGGTCCGAAGAAAGCTTAACGCATAGCGTCACGGCCGTCTCGGCGGTGCTAGTTTTAGCATTTTCCCCTTCATCCCTTCTATTTCAAAAAAGACTCATGTGAGAGGACCAAAATAACTACAAGAAGGCCCCGGCGCCCCAGTCTCGACACTTTTTGATTATTCCCGTAAACGTTGCTGATGTGTGGATGACCTGGTCTCAACTGGTTTATATCAGTCTCGCTTCTTCGCTTCCCCATCTTTTTATTTTATTTTCACAATATTTCTCTTCACACAATTCCTGATCCGAGAGAGTTGAGACACACTGAGAAAAGCAGACCCTCACAATGGCCCTCATCGAGCTTCTCATCTCGCCATGGGCACCGGCCTTGCTGGCTGCAGGCTTGGTGGCCTACTACCTATACCCATATTTTGTCACCTACGCACATTTGCGTGGCATTCCCTCTCCATTTCCAGCACAATTCACAAATTTCTGGCTCTTGTATGTTGTCCGGCGCGGAGACAGATACGAGACGGTTGATAAGCTTCACAAGGAGCTGGGCCCTGTTGTGCGGATCCAGCCCAACCACGTGAGCATCGCGGACGACGATGCGATTAACATTATCTACGGACACGGAAATGGATTCCTGAAATCGTACGTATATGTGAACCTGAGCAAAGCAATACGCACCCGTATGCTTCCTCAGAAGAGACACTAGCTGACCCCGCACCAGCAACTTCTACGATGCCTTCGTCTCCATCCAGCGAGGCCTCTTCAACACCCGAGACCGCCATGAGCACTCCCGCAAGCGCAAGATTGTCTCGCACACCTTCTCTGTCAAGTCCATCGGCCAGTTCGAGCCGTACATGCACGAGAACCTCGCGCTCTTCGTCAAGAAGTGGGACGAGCTGATTCAGAACAGCCCGGCCAAGCAGGGCGCCGTGCTTGACTGCCTCAAGTGGTTCAACTATCTGGCCTTCGACGTGATCGGTGACCTCGCCTTTGGTGCGCCGTTTGGTATGCTGGCAGCTGGCGCCGATATTGCCGAGGTCCGTGAATCACCAAACAGCCCGCCCATCTACGCCCCGGCCATTGAGATTCTCAACCGCCGTGGTGAGGTGTCTGCTACGCTGGGAATCTACCCCGAGATGAAGCCCTGGGCCAAGTACATTCCGGACCCGTTCTTCAGCCAAGGTCTCGAGGCCGTGCAGAACCTCGCCGGAATGGCCATTGCTCGCGTCAAGGCTCGTCTGGACAACCCTCCCGATGTCGATCGTTTGGATCTTCTCGCCCGCTTGATGGAGGGCCGCGACGACAAGGGACAGCCGCTTGGTAGAGAGGAGCTCACGGCCGAGGCCTTGACGCAGCTCATTGCAGGCAGCGACACGACGTCCAACTCATCATGCGCCCTGCTATTCCACGTTGCTAGAACCCCCGGTGTCATCGAGAAGCTCCAGGCCGAGCTGGACGCTGCGATTCCCGCTAGCGTTGATGTTCCTACCTACGAAATGGTGCGCGACTTGCCCTACCTGGGCATGGTGATCAACGAGACGCTCCGGTTCCACTCCACATCCGGTATCGGTCTGCCGCGCGAGATTCCCGCCGACTCCCAGGGCGTGTCGATCCGCGGCCACTTCTTCCCACCTGGCACCGTCCTCAGCGTGCCGTCCTACACGATGCACCACTCCAAGGAGATCTGGGGCCCCGACGCGGACGACTTCCGCCCGGAGAGATGGGAGTCTGTCACGACCAGGCAGAAGAACGCCTTCATTCCTTTCAGCCACGGTCCCCGCGCCTGTGTGGGCAGAAATGTTGCCGAGATGGAGATGAAGCTTATTGTGGCTACGTGGGCGAGGCGTTACCGCGTCGAATTGAAGCAGGACTACATGGATACCAAGGAGGGATTCTTGAGAAAGCCCTTGGAACTGAACATTAGCATTCACAGGCGGTAGAATAAGTATGGGTCTGGTGGATGTTGGCACAATGGCATGACGCTGCGTGTCTTTTTGAGATGTAGGTATACATTAAGACGTTACAGAGGAACGTATCCTATGAGTACTCTCATGAGTTTATTCAAAGCCTCTTCAATAATGCCCACACCCGGTTGTCATGGTTCTTCGCAAGTTGCATCCGGATTCGTCAGACCATCTGCTTCATGGTCTGGAACGTTACCTTGCTATCTCCCAGCAAGGTTTGCAGCGTAATTTGAAGACCCTTATCATCTGAGATATGCCGCCGAAGCCTCCGTTATTGACTCAAGAAAGAGCGCGGCGGCACTTAAACTCCCGAGGCTTTCGGGTCCATCGCCGGTGGGATAATTGGTATGGAATAGACTAGCTGTACGTGTGTAGCACATCCTGCTTATCTGGCGGCTCGCCTTTAGCAAGCTGCTCGTGTACTTCATAAGAAAATACTTACACATGAATGATAGATCCCTGACTTTGCAATTTGACTCTTGTCAAATCGTGCCGAGTACCAACCGCAAGGTTCGCGGCTGTCAGTTTCTGCCCTTTTGTCATCGGCAAGACGGCAATTTCGTTCCCGTTTCACCCGAGTTTACGAACTCATCGGGGCTTTTCGTCTGATTGTGAAGTATCCCCCGCTTCATTGAAAGTCCTGAAAGTCTCCTTGAGACCACTCGTTGGAGAACCAAGCAAGGGATTCTAGACCCATGGGCTCCATGTTAAAGTCAAGGCTGTCCAACGCGCCCTCGAAAGCGTTGTTGACCTCGAGTGAGCCAGGTCCAGCGGGCGGCGGCGCCGGCAACATCTCCTCGTCCGGCTTGTCCGACTCGACGACTTGAATGTCTTCCCAGGCACCGATGCCAAAAGGCCGATTGGTGAGCTCGTCGGCGGCGGGCGCACCGCTGTCCGGATCATCCACGAGCTGCACTTGTTTCGCCCGGCCCAGTCGCGATACGCGCTTCGGTCCGTTTCCGTTTCTCTCGTCATGCGGTTCTTCACTGACCAGTCGGCTAGGCGTGGCCTGTATTGAGAGACCGTGGTCCATGAGACGCTGTAGATCGGTTTGCTGGGGGAGAAGTCAGCGGTGAAGGGAACTAGTGTGATTGCAGGACTCACAATTGCGTTTGCTGCTGTTCCGGAACAACAACCCTTAGTGACGTCAAGACAGATCGAAGCCTTCTTCCGGAGGACGTCAGGGGTGAGACCATACTCCTCCGCGTTGAGATGATAGATATAATATAGCATGCGGACACACTGATAAGCACAGACAGGCATATCCAAGTCTGCTACAGGGTAGTGGTCCAACTGCTTAATGGAGGTAAACATGTTGGACATCTCCAGGGCATGTTCGAAGCATTGCCGTTGACATTGGGCGCTAAAGTCGGGTCCTAGCCGTTCAGCGGCAGTGCGTGAAAGGGAGTCTCGTAGTCCGACGAGCCCTAAGCGGTACAGATCACAATGGCATTGACGCCACCAGATGTGAATCATGATGAATACGCAGAGTCGCGGTGAGTACGCTCGCAGTCGCAAGCTGTTATCGGACCACCGGAAAGATACGGGCAATCTTTCGGCGAACTCTGAGAGCTCCTTGGCAAATGCTTGCAGCTGATCACGCATGCGAGCCAGGTCATCGTCGTTGGAGCAGGCCGCCGCTCTTTTGGCAAACTTCAAGATCCTGCCGCGAACCCAAAGGATACGTACGTGAAGTGCGAGGCTACCGATGTCGTCGTTCTCGGACTCGTCGGGCTGAGGGACCAAGCTGCGCATCGAAGGTGGTGCGAGATCGAACTCAAAGTCTCGCTCGTTGCATGGAAGCGGGATGTGGATGAGCTCGGGAGACCATAAGGTGAGATCTCGGTATCCGCCGGCCATGCCCTGGTCGATCATGAACAACGCCCACATGAGGCGACGTCTTGATTCCTGAGCCAAGAAGCACAAGTCGCTGTTCTCGTGGTTAAGACGCAGTGCCATGGCAAATCTCGCAGCGGTGGCGGCGAGTACAAAGGCGCTGGAGAAGCGCCGAGTCAAGATGCGGTACTTGATTATGAGGGCGAGTGTCTGAACCTTGATGGTTGAGGGGTTCTCCAAGCTTTTCAAAATCAATGCCTCGGATTCATCGACACACTTCTCGCCATACTCTTTCGTGCCTGGCCCCAGGTCGGTGAGCATACTCGTGATGCCGATGAGAGCGAGCAGCAGTGGTCGGTCCAGACCACCAGCGTGGTGCCTTTGCATGAGTGAAGCACGATGTAGGAATGAGAGCATGGGGATGTGATGAACATGACGAAAGAAATTGTCGAGTGCTCGACTGATGAGCGACTCGAATTGGGGATCAGACGTCGAGCTTTGAATAGTTAGTAACAGCGATATTTAAATTGAATGAGAGCCAGCCTACAGTTCCTGGTTGAAAGTACTTGGGGTGTTGGAGGCCATGACTTCCGGCCCACCGGCATCGGAGTCGTGAGCGCCATCATCTCTAGACTGTGACCGACGTACCTGCTGCTCACGGGCAGCGGCAGCGGATGATGTCGTCGGTGATCTTACAACTTGGTCGACACGGGGAACGTGATGGATGCTCAGGCGAGCTCGTTTGGATGCCCGGTAAACACACTCGATGCCCTGGTTACGACATCTTTGGCAGGCCGGGGTGTCGCCGCTGCACCGGGCCTTGCGGGAGTGACAGCTCTCACAAGCTTGACGTACGCGACGTCGGGGTAAGGGGAAGGATGGACCGGATGAGAGGCCATTGGGGTCCGAGTTGGGATCCTCGTAGGTGCAGTTGAAGCCAAGACGGTCGCAGTTGCTGCATACTTCGCGGCGGCCATCACAACGGACCTTTCGGGCTCGACAAGTGACGCATGTCGTTGTCGAGGACCGCTTGGTTGGCTTCGGAGACACGGACGAGGCTGATGCTGTCACGGCAGTGGCAGCACCGGGACCGGGACCGGCTGAGGCTGAGGCCGAGGGAGCAGACAGGTCGGACTGGATGTTGTTGGTGGTGGTCGCGGGTGCGGCTGTCGGTGGTCTGTCGGGTCGGAGGTGATGTCCCAGGTTGTCGTTGCTATTGTGATTGATGGTGTTTGGGATTTGGGGGTGATTGTTACTGTTGCCGCTGCTACTACCGAATAAGTCTGCCATTGTCCCAGACACGAGCGAATACGCGTGGGCGCGGCCTCGATTCCTGTCACCGGAACTCGGCGGCGTCTGCTGCAGACATGGAGAGGGATGAGGCTCGGTCTAAGGGCTCATGGATTTCCCATTCCGGGGAACAATCGGCGTGGGTCTCAACTCAGAACACGGCGACCTGTGTGTCCAGTCCTCTCTCTGCGCGCGCGCGCGCGTGTGTGTATGCGACTGAGTGTTTACTGTGAACGGTAGGTACAAACATGCAGGATAAATCCGGGGAACAACAAGGTAGCCGGTGGCTGTACGTGGAACAAAAGGTGATGGGAGGAGGTCTATCCGTAGCTAGAACAATTTTCTGCTCGGGGCAGGCAAGGCAATGGAGCAATGGCAAGGCAAGGCAAGGCAAGGCAATGAGCAGCTGTGTACATACGCAGTACGGCAGGTGGAAGCAGGGAACGGAATGCAGGCATAAGTGAGTGACCGTTCTCTTCATCAACCATTACCCGCGGACGAAAGCAACAAATGGCAGGTAGCCGGGGCTCTTTCGGAGACACTCTAGGGGGGTGTCTGACGACGAAGTAGGTACTTCACAGTGGCCCCTTGTCCCCCCAACTCGGTTGCCCGAAAAACTCTCCGGGGAATGACGGGGTCCAGCTTCGTTAAGATTGCCCTGAAAATTGCCACCGACTGCAACGGACAGGGCAGCCAGTGAGACGGAGCTGGCTCCTAAACTACCTAGGTAACTTACATACCATGGTAAACACAGAGTCTTCATTGTTCGGCTACTTACTTAGGTGGACAGATGAAGCTGTACAATTCAAGTCATCTTAATGGAGCACGCATCTCTCCTGACGGCAGCTTCGGAAAGCAAAAGCCCAACAGGTCCACTGAGAGCCACGTCAAGAATACCTAGACCACGGAACTCTACACCGTGTTGAATGGAGCATCATCCACCGCCAGATCCCCGGGTCGGCAGTCGGTCATCACTGGACATCAGACACCAGAGACCGGAGAAGAAACAGCTGGATTAGAACACATAAGTTACATACCATTTGTAACGGATCACTTCAACGGTGCTTCGTTCAACCTCGAGGCTCCGATGAGAGCACGGTCACGCGACACACAGACCCGGAAAGAGCGCAAAATATTCCACATTGTTCTGTCGCATGGCAGGCTGTCGGTCTGTTTGGCCGAGAGCCGACACCGAGAGCCGCAGAGGTACCTGCATGAGCATCTTGATCTGACATGTGCCCGATTGCTTTTCATAGAACCGTTCTGTTCTTCTGAACGGTTTGAGGAGAGATGTGATACAGGCATATTGCGTGTTGAAAAGCATCCATCACTGACTCTGATTTGATCGCAAGCTTGAGATGCTCTGGCCAACAGATGCACCTCACAGACGAGTCAATTTCATTCAACACTGACCGACAGCCGACGTGTCCTTGGCATAGTTACAGTCACAAGCTTCATCGCAACCTTGGTTGGCGGGATCTTACTTTTCCGCAGCATTCAGGCGGATCAGCTAGCCGTCGTCTGTCCTTTGCCGGACTTGAGGAGACGCAGATCTTGGGGATGTCGTGATCGGTCTTTGCAGATGTTGAGCAATGCCTACGGCGCACGCGGCGGTAGCGTCGGCGTCTTCCTGCTGTCATGGTATTCCCTGTGACGTTCAAATTGATCTGCACCTGACCTGAGCGGCCATGTTGCAATTGCAATTTGGGTGCAGGGCGGTGAGGACCCGAGGTGAGCTAGAGTACGACCTGTTCACCGAGCAAGCGGTCTGAGGTGAGCGGTGAGGCCGGGGACCTGGTGTGCTGACCGACAGGTACGAGCGCAGCACTGGCTTATCGAAAAAAATTACACCCCACCACAACCCCGCGATAGAGGAAATTTCCCGTACCTTTCAAAATCAATTCGCCGCCTCTCCTAATCATCGCCCGCGTTGCGACTGCATTTGAAGTGGCCCTGCAAGTTTTCGACTGTCGATAATATTTCCGGACTACTTGGAGTAACTGGCGAAATATCCATTACCGCCAAAATGTCTATTGAAACGGCGCCCGCTCCAGCGGTCGCAAGCCCCGCGGCGACCCAAGAGCGCAAGCCCATCCACACCCTCGTCCTCGATACCGGTCCGTTGATCAAGAACGACCCTCCCGTGAGCACTCTTCTCGCCCAGGCCGACGAACTGTTCATGCTCCCTTCCATCATCGACGAGATTCGCGACGTCAACACCCGCACCCGCGTCCAGACTACCCTCATGCCCTTCGTCAAGCTGCGCAACCCGCGTCCCGACAGCATCAAGTTCGTTACCAACTTTGCACGCCGCACCGGAGATCTCGAAGTTCTCAGCAGACCCGATTTGCACCTGCTTGCTCTTACCTACGAGCTCGATGTCGAGAAGAATGGTGGCGACTCTAGACTTCGCAAGGACCCCAATCAGCGCATCCCCAACACCCCTAAGTCAGCCACCAGCGATGCTGCCGAGGGTAAGCCTACCCAAGAGGTGTCCTCGGTCGAAGGCGAGACAGTCGAAGAAGAGACTTCTACGGGGGTGAAGGAGAATGCAGACAGCACCGAGACTGAGGCGACCGCAAGCGACGAGACAACGCAAGCTCCGCCTGCGAATGCGGATGCGACGGACATCACACAAGAGATGGAGAAACTGGAAGTTCAAGAGGACAAGCCCAATGAGGAGCAAGCAGCGGTCGAAGAGAGTACCGCCGAAGCAGCCGTCGCAAAGGAAGACGCATCGGACGACGAGGACGGCTGGATCACGCCGTCCAACGTCAAGAAGCACAAGGAGAAGGACAGCAAGAGGCTCCAACCGACGGAGCCGGCAGTCGACGTCAAGGTGGGCATTCTCACCTCTGACTATGCCATGCAGAACGTCGCCCTAAGAATTGGGCTCAACCTGCTGTCGCCTGCCATGTCGCGCATTACACAGCTCAAGACCTGGGTTCTGCGTTGCCACGGCTGCTTCCAGGTCTGTAAAAAGATGGACAAGCAGTTTTGCCCCAGCTGCGGACAAGCGACGCTCACGCGAACCTCGTGCACCACCGAGGAGGACGGCTCCTTCAAAATCCACCTGAAACGCAACTTCCAGTGGAATAACAGAGGCAATGTCTTCAGCATTCCCAAGCCGGTCGCTGGAACCTCCAGCGGCAAGCTGGCGAAACATGCCGGTGGCAAGAACAATTGGGGTACCAACCTCATCTTTGCGGAGGACCAGAGGGAGTACGAGAAGGCTGTTGGTGAAAACCGTCGCGCCCGTCGCAGGGACCTCATGGACGAGGATTACCTACCAAGCATCCTGACGGGTGATCGTACGAGCAACAACGGAAAGGTGCGGTTGGGCCCTGGAAGAAACGTGAACGGGCGCAAGAAGAGGTAGACGGCATAGTCTGGCTGTGTGGCGGTCGACGAGATGTTTAAATGTTCTGCATGATACCATGATAGACCTCAAAAAGGATGGACGGATGGGTAAAGGGCACTCTTCATAGGACTGGGAAGACAAAACAAGGTTGAATTCTTAAATGCGTCGCTTCTGCTTGATATCGCAGAGCGGTCTGCCCCAAAACGGACCGTGTAACAGACTCCGGTTTCCCCATGAACACAAGCCTTCCCCCCCAACGCCTTTAGTTTTTATGTGCCAGAGCCATGGATCGGGGAGCACCCGCGAACCGTTATGCTCTATCCCCACGCTGCGCAGTGCTGATGCTCTCTCCTGCCAGTCGAACAATCCGTCGCCGTCATGTGATGCTGGTCGGAACGGTTGTGTCTCGGCCGGGTATATGATGGTAAGATGCCGTTCGTTTGGTTTTAGGAAATTACTCGGTCTCTGTGGAGGGGTAGTTAGTCACTGGAACCAATGACCACGATAGGAAAGGATCATGTACTCACTCTGCTGGGTGAGAAGGAGGTTGAAGCGGCGCTTGAGGGTGACGCGCTGGCGCGACCACTTATCGTCGGGGGAGAAACGGGCGGGGTGCGCGGACTTGGTGACCTTGCCGTCGACAACCTTCTTCAAGGTGTACAGACGGTTGCCCGCCTCGTCGAGAGTGTACATCAAATGCATCTTGAAGTCGGCGTTTAAGCTGGCGTGAGTGTGGTGGTGGTTGTCGGCGGAAGAAGGTGGTCGGCGCAGGCAGGCCAAAGAACTTTTTTTTTCCCCTTGCGATTTGAAAATTTCAGGCCACGTGACCTTCGGTCAGGATCCAACCGGAAGGACGAATTGGATATTCACCGAAATATGGGGTCACCGCCTGTTCTCCACTTTTGGTATCAGTGTCAACACTCCAGTGCCATCATCTCATCCGGTGTTATTTCTTCATTTTCTTGTAGATGTCTATCTGTCTCAAGTGTTTTTGGGATTGAAATCTTTTTAAACGAAGTATCTTGAATTTTTTTTGAAGTTGTTTTCCGTAACATTTTGCCCGCTTCTGCTTTACTTTACGTGCTGTTGGTAAACACCTCAATCACCAAACGCGACATTCACATTTAGCATCTCCAAAAGCGAACACCAGGTTCCTCGGCCGTTCATGGCATTCTATACCATTTCATCAGGATTTAATCTTAGTCCCTCAAACACACCGTCGACCATGTCTATCAGTGGTGATGTCCCATGTCCTGCTCTTTGAACGGTTTGATGCTATGCCCATGAGGGAACGAGGGGCCTGAACAGCGTGATTAGTAGGTGCTCAAGTTTGTTCTCTCATGAGACGTTTCCACTGACCGAACTTTGGATGGACAATGTAGTTGTCCTGATACACGTCCACGGTGTTGTCTCGCGAGTACTCCATGACCTTACTGAAATCCACGCATTGGTGAGGCGCCGTCTGATTGACGATGGGCTGGGCATCTTTGTCGGTCCACATGTGAGTGATGATGGATATGTCGCCTCGACATGCTGCCCCCATTCTAAGCACCTCCAAACAGTGCTGGTTGTGCTCTCTGTTGATCGCAATTTCCTTGTCCGTTGCGTTCGGGAAGTAGTACTCGGGTGACAGAGTCTGATAAAGCCGTTTCTGATGCCCTAAATTAGCGACCCTAACACACTCGGAACCGCGAGCAGAACATACGATGCAGTGAAGCTCATGGAAAACGCTCAACATGCCTAGGTATCCGCCATCTGGCAGCTTTACAGCTTCATGTTGTCGGCCCCAGCGGTGCACCCATTCATCTGATACTCTGATGTTGTTGTCTGTATCGTTTGATCAGCATAGACTCAGTGGAATAAGCTAGAGACTCACGGACATTGCAGCAAATCTTTCCAAGCCTGATCAACTTCAGATCGAGGTTCCCCAGTGTATTTCCCATGTGGAGGTCCTTGAATGGGGAAGACTTCAAGATGAGTCTCATCGCCGATAGCTCTTGGGGGGGCTGTTATCAAGATCAGCGTTTGGTTTCAAACACAATGCCTCCAAGCTATTCAGCATACAATCAATTTGACTGAATACCCCAGCACTCGGTCTGCCCCGGATCATTGAAATGACGAATATCGTTGAGTATGCTATGATAAAGATAGCATGAAGTGTCCATGATCTGAACCTGTACCACTGTGACGGCTGCTTTGCTCGAGCTTCCGACAGCTCGACCTCAACATTATCGAGACTCGTTGCGGATCTCTCGTCTGAATACACGGGCGTGTAGCCCTTCTCTCGACGGGCCATCTTAAAGGCAACACAAGAATTTCAGAATAAAATATTACACAAAACGCTGCCGGCGTGAGGTAAGAACCAGAAAACCCAAATGTAAACGCGAGTCTCTAGTAAACAAGCCGAATGAAAAACCGAATGAACGAAACAAAAGTAAAGGGGGGGGGGGGGGGGGGGGGGACATGGCCTAGTCAGTCACTTGCCACCGTTCTATCCTGAAGGATTCGAGGGGTTGTGAACGACTGCAGCCCCGCTTCCTGCCTGCTATCCATATCACGCCTTGGATGACAATCGCATATCTAGTGGCTTCAACTTTTGATCCTTATTCCCGCAATTGGAAGGTCACTATCGATACGCTCATGATATCTGACGATGGCGTTTTGAACCAGTTGGGCTGGAGCAGTCTGTAAACGCATGACCTCTTTCCGTGTCTGCGTCCTCGAATCCTTCGAGAAAGTAGCTAAACCAGATATGCTAGCTCTCAGGTCATTCGAAAGATCTGAACATATCTATTCGTTGAACTAGGTAGCCTACAACATGCTTGCCACACGATTTGCATCTCGATCCTCCTTGTACAAGCTTAGCTGAAATAAGCATTTGCTGCTGCAGGCATCGAGTTCGGAAGACGTACATGAACGAAATGATGTCTATCGAAGTATTATGGTTAATGATGAGCGCGTCTGTCAGGCAGTCGCTCCAGAAATATCTTGCTGTCATATTGCTAGATATCTTGAGTTTCCCTGCATTTCATGTAGCCTAGGAAGGCTTTGCAACTAAATAAGACGACAAATCTACAGTGGCCCATCTTGCTCGAAACTTTGCAGAAAGGTCTTGCTCTCACGATCTTTCCAGGTTTCTCTGCGGTATGCGTGAATCCTCCCAGCTGTGGGTCAGCAAGCTAATGTAAATGGGGAAGGTCGCCCCCAATCAGAGCTGTGACTCTTTCTCCCAAAGGACTACTTCGGATGGGGTAAAATCCTTCAAATTCATGATCCTGTATTGACCGCCTTTCGACGTTTGGGAAACGCTTACTCCGTGGCCGACTCTAAGTGGAGCTGATAGCTTGTGCAACCATCTCCTCTAGCACCAGAGGTAAGAATCGCGATTCGTCAGCTCGCAAAGCCGTTCCATGTCACCTGCCTGATTGATCCATTGGATCAGCAAGCAAGGTATCAGCTCCTATGAGAAATTATCTCTGGCCCCTAGGCTCCGAACCAGTCGCCCCTAGAGGCTGCCAATGCAAACGCCTTCCATCATAAGAGGCAAGCGGACACTTACTCCAGCTCTTCATGAATCCAGTCCTCTTTGACATCTCATTAGCTCGTGACACTTCGAGCCAAAGTTATTTCTCGAAGTTTCCATCAAGCTTTCCATACATCTCGCTGCTTCAAGATGAAGACCGCATTTCTCCTCGCAGCTCTAGCAGCCTGCGTCGTTTCTCTCCCAACAGCACCTCATGTTGGACTTGGTGGGCTGGAAACTTTTTGAACTCCCTATAGATCTCTATTGACTCTTAACAGCCCAGACCAATGCCGATGAATCTTACCTCCCGATGAAGGCTCGCGCGGAGACCAGTGCCGATGAGTCGTACCTCCCGATGAGAAGAGCCGAGACCAGTGCCGACGAGTCGTATCTGCCAATGAAGCGTGCCGAGACGAGCGCCGACGAGTCTTATGATCCCATGCGACGAGCTGAGACCAGTGCCGACGAGTCTTACGATCCCATGAGGAGGGCCGAAACCAGCGCTGACGAGTCGTATTTGCCCATGAAGCGTGCCGAGACTACCGCTGATGAATCTTACCTGCCAATGAAGAGAGCCGAGACCAGTGCGGATGAGTCCTATCTTCCTATGTAGACTAGCTCCTGCTGGTTCGGAAACTAGTACTTTAGTAGTAAAGTTATAGGAAAATAATTTTATTCATGTTCAAGGCCGTTGGTTTCATGATTGTTAGTCGCTGTTTGCTCGCCCGCCGACGTGGTCCGAAGAGTGTTGAGGTCACAGGAGCACTGCACCGACCCGAGCAGACGAAAGAAAAACAGATATGGACGCATATATGAGTATGACTCTATCTTTAGTGAGTTTAGAGACTATGTTGGTTTACAGAAAAGGATTGCGGCGGCAGGGTTGACTTTCTTGACTTTGACTCGTCACCTCTCCTTCGGCTCCCAAGGCTCAGAGACCGAATAAAGAAGGGACATCAACAACATGGAACATAAATAGGCACAGTCCTTTATTACATGGTTTCGGAGACTGAGCTTAAGTCAAATGTAGCTGTTTGATTGGATAGAAGTATTGCTTCACTGGGGGTTTCCATTGACAAAAGTCCCAACCTAGTTCACTCTTGCATGAAGTTCTGGCATCTGAAAGCAAAGCTTGTGCTTCATCACACCAAATGAATCAAATTATTACAAGCCCCGCAATGCTGGGGAAGTGAAAGAATGTAAAGATTGCTAAGACAGCTGGTAATTGGGGTCATGGAATTCGTAATAACCTGACCCAACTTCTGTGGTCGCGCCCCCATTAGGCAACGTGATGTCGGCCCTGGTGTTGGGCGGGACTTGAACATTCAGATGAAAGCCGTTGCGGTGCAAAGCATTGTCCTCCGTGTTGTTCTCAAACCACCATTGAACTTTGACCTCTCCGTAGGGACTGATGAACTTGGCGTCCGCACTGGTGATGTTTCCGCCTGGGACGGGGGCGACGGCGATTCTCTTCCAGCCAGGCTCAGCAGGAGCGATGCCACCGATAACTTGATGCATCCAATTGGCAACAGAGCCAAAGGCGTAATGGTTGAAACTCGTCATCTCGCCAGGATTGACGCTTCCGTTCGACAACAGACTGTCCCAACGTTCCCAAGTTGTTGTGCCATTCTGAACAACTTGGTAAAGCCACGAGGGAACCCGAGTCTGTAGAAGCATGCGATAGAAGTCCTCCGTAGCTCCGATGTTGCGGAGAGCGAACCCTAAGGGAGGAGTTCCGGCGAAGCCCGTGCCGACGAGGTAGTCATTTTCTGCTACGATGTCACGCAGCGTCTGCGCCGCAGCAGAACGCTGCTCCTCGTCGGTGTAAAGACCAAAGTCCAAAGCCATGGCATACGCAGTCTGAGTCCTATTTGCGAGGGCGCCGTCTTGAATCCAGGCATTATGGAACTCCTCGGTCAGGTTGTTCTGTTGACGGCGATATTCCGTCGCGGCATCGTCCCGACCCAGAGCTGCTGACATGTTGGCCAGAAACTCCGTCATGTGAATGAGATAAGCATCCGCAACGAGAATCTTCGCAGTCGTAGCGTTGCCAGGTGCATCCGAGGGAGCTTTGGGGTCAAGCCAATCCGCAAACTGGAACGAACTGCGATTCCAGAGACCAACCTCGTTGCGACTGATACCCTCATCAATCCAAGCCTGAGCTTGAGAATATTGCTCCTCCAACAGATCAAGGTCGCCGTAGGCCTGGTAAATATTGAAGGGATTAGCGACGGCAACATCACCCCACACAGCAGCAGGCGTGGCGGGAGACTCCGGCGGGATGGTTGGCACAGTGAAGGGAACGACCATGGAGTCGTTTCGTTGCATTTCTGACCAAATATCCTTGTGCCAGCCCTTGAAAAAGCCGGCGGCGTTGTACAGGTAGTTGGCAGTGGGAGCAAATGCGTGTGCGTCTCCAGTCCACCCAAGACGTTCATCGCGTTGCGGGCAGTCGGTTGGGATAGAGAGGAAGTTGCCCTTCATAGACCATCGGACATTGTGATGAAACTTGTTGAGAAGTTGATTCGAGCAATCGAACCAACCAGTTTCTTCCATATCACTGTGAACCACGACCGCCGTGATTGATTCGGGCGTTAATGGGGTCTCTGCCGGCCAACCATCGATCTGAGCGTAGCGAAAACCGTGGAATGTGAAACGAGGTTCCCATGTTTGGTTACCGTTGCCATGTAGGATGATGGAATCCTCTGCCGTGGCGTACCGAAGGGGTCTTAGGGCTAGTTCACCGTCTTCCAGAACTTCGGCATGGTGGAGAGTGAGGTTTGTCCCGCTGGGCCCAGAAACAGTAAGCCTGAGCCAGCCGACAAGGTTCTGTCCGAAGTCGATGATGGTCTTTCCCGAGGGCGATTGGAAAATTGCTTCAGGCTTCCTCTCTTCAACCCGCCTGACGGGTGGTCCATCAGGTGGAACCAGATCGCCTTTGGGCGCATCTAGCTCCTTCGTAGCAAGCCAGCCGCTGGCTTCGAAAGCCGCAGAAGACCAGCCCTCCAGGTCCGCCTCTAGTCTGGAGTCGTACTTCTCGCCGTCGTAGATCTCAGATGTGAGAATCGGACCGGTGCTCGCTTGCCACGAGGTGTCGGTGGGAATTTCAACGGTGCTGCCGTCATCGAGAGTGGCAACGAGGAGAGAAATCAAACCAATGGTGTCACCGTAGTTGTTACGAAAGCCGCCTCCATAACTCAAGCGACCCGAAAACCAGCCCTCACCAACGACAACGCCAATGGCGTTATCCCCGCTGTTGACAAGTTCAGTAACATCGTACGTATCGTACACGTGCCGATAGTTGTATGATTGCCAGCCCGGGGCAAGCACAAGATCTCCGACCCTGTTTCCGTTGATCTCGGCTTCATATAAGCCCAACGCAGTGATGTAAAGGCGAGCGCTTGATACGTTTGCTGTCACAGGGAAAGTCTTTCTGAAGTAGATGGGCCGCTTTGGAGCGTCGATTTCGGTGTCTCTATCGGCGGCGATGGGAACAGCGCCCAGCCAGTCACTGCTGTTGAGGAGCCCAGTTTCAACAGTGACCCAGTCGGACCACGGTGTCGAGGGCTGACCCGATTGACCATGGGCTCGGGCCCTCACAGTAGCTTGTTCAGCCGTGCTTAGAGGCGATTCGGGCCATGGGACGAGCAGTGAGTCGGAGGAGTTGACGCTGTGAATGCTTGGTGCGCCACTGGTACCCCTGATGACCTCGAGGTCGTAAGAAGTCTGCTGCCAGTCGACAGCATTGCCTCCGAACCTCCACGAGATGCGAGGCTCTGACTCGGCTATGCCAAGAGCCAGGCGGTGGTGCTCGAAAGATAGCTGTGATATCGAGACAGCCATTGTATTGAAGGGAGCTGCAAGGCAAAGAGGAGTTGCGCCTGGGAATCTACTAGACCTCACATGGCTTTCCCAAATAGCAGATTATTATATATCTTACAATAACAAGGGTCACTCGGGCCTTCTTCACCCGTGAATTTGTTGCTGCCTCTGCCTGAGGTCGATGTTGGCAAGCCCGGAGAAGACTCGCGGCAGTCATCTTCGGTGGGCTTTGTGCCGCAGACGAGCTCAAGCTGGCTCGATGAGCTCATTCCAACCTCCATCTCGTCCTGCAATGCCCGAAATCTCTGGGGATCGGGCCGTTTAGCTTGCGGGGTCCCCAGACCAACAAGGTGGGATCTCCAACCCCACGGGGCGATATGCTTAGAAGGATGATGATCTCCGGCGCGGCAGCATTTTTGGTCGGAAATCCCGAGCCCAGGGTACCAATGCCGGTGGGACGACGCCTGCGTGATCCATTGAGATTTTGTATCGAGGCGAGACTATTTGAATATCGCGTTTGCTTGCTTCTCCTCTCAGAGACCATTTCGTAACTTCTACATGTTCACGGCTTCAGCACATAGCTTCATCGGAAGTAGAATGTTTGAAACCAGTGAAGGGGAGCGCTCCCGGGAAGCTAAAGCGAGGAAGTCAATGGGATGAACTGCCAAAACAAACAGGGAGCGCGGAGAAGTCTTGAGTACCTGGCAACCCCGCAAACTCGGTTGCCGGTAGTTGGGGAGAGCCCGACGCCAGGGCTTCATGACCCAGCTTCTCCGCATTTGAGTGTGCGGGGGGATGCAACCAGCTGACGGACGGTGTGAAAATACCGCTTCAACGATACGGCAATGTCCCTGGATGAGTCGTATCCACAGGAAATACGCGTTTAATCTTACCGTGTATGGACATTGGCCATCCTGCCAAGGAAGCACATCAACAGAGCCTGCAGCACAGGCTTGGCCCGGAGCCGACACTCCCCGTGACCAACAAGTGATTTCTCACCCGCCATTTGGAGTTTCTTGACTAAACACCTTCGGATTTCCCGAAACTACAGGAATAAAAGTGAGTTATTCGACCGATGGCCTTCCCAGAGAGGATGGCAGAGCGAGCACCCTGGTCAGCCTCCCGTGATCAAGGGGCACCAGCTGATGTCTCCGTACTCGGCCGAAATGTATGGATTCCGCTGGGGTTTCAGAAACACACACACCCGACCATGGCAAAGAGCCACAATGAATCTGTTTAACTGCCACGGCGGACTTTTCCTGCCTAGCACGAGCCACCCACCACGGCGTGTCGACAGGCTTTGTCGACAGGCTGGTTTGGATGAAGAAGAAACAAACAATCTGCGATGACTAAGCTACATGCAAGCATTTCCATGGTTTTGGGCGGAAATCCGCGGACGCGTGCGCGGGCGCCGTCGGCCCACATGTTTGTCTTCAAAAAGCCCCATTATTGTGTGCCTCGGGATAGGTATTTGGGCCAGACGGTCTGTGATCGTCGTTCCTCTCGAGTTTTGTCTTCGACACGGGCATCTTTGTTGCCCTAAGCTTCTCCCATCGTCAACCAAACACCCAGAAACAGACCGCCCAACAGAAGAGATGGGCATCCCAGCCAACAAGAAAACGGTCCTTATTACCGGGTATGCCACCGCAGCCCGCCACCAATGACATGCCTGATTCGCTAGAATGGTCGCCGAAAGAGGGCTCTAGTGCTGACAAGCTTTTTGCTGTAGCTGCACCCCGGGAGGAATTGGCCACGCGCTGGCCAGGGAGTTCCACGCCAAAGGTGGGCAGTCTGGTGTCACACCAACAACACCCCAGTACCCTCAATCAATTGGCGGCCTGAATGCTCACACGCAGCTTCGTTTTCAGGACTTCATGTCATCGCTACCGCCCGGCGCCCGGAAGTCCTCCAGGACCTCGGGGACAAAGGCATGACGACGATTGCTCTCGATGTCACCAAGGCCGAGAGCATTGCCGAGTGCAAGCAGAAGGTGACGGAGTTGACAGGCGGACGCCTCGATTTCCTCGTCAACAACGCGTGAGGCTATCCCACCCCAGAAGTGCAATTTCCCCAGGCCGAATGACAGATGCGCGCGAACAAATTCGCCAAGCCTTGCTACATATCTGACGAATTCTTGCATAGGGGCCTCACCCACACCGTCCCAGCTACAGACATCAATATGGACGAGGTGCGCCGGACATTTGAGACGAACGTGTTCGGTGTCATGGCTATGGTCCAGGCTTTCGTACCCCTCATGATCCCATCACGAGGTCTCATCATCATGATCAGCTCCCTGTCATCAGTCTCGCCGTATGTCTTTGGCTCAGTTTATACTGCAACAAAGGGGGCGTTGAATTCATACAGCCGCACACTCCGCCAGGAGTTGCGCCCCTTCGGTGTTCGAGTGATGGTATCCATGACCGGCACTGTCAAGAGCGATATCGCAAAGCTTAACCGCGAGCTTCCACCCAACTCTTTATATACTCGCGTCAAAGACCTGTATGCAAAGCGTCTGAAATTCTCCCAGAACAATGCTACTGTCAGCACAGAGGACTTTGCGAGTCAGCTGGTGGCGGAAGCGTTGAAGGGAGAAGGCTGGCTCGGAGGCTGGCTTGGCGGTGCCAGGAACTGGTTCTGGGCTGGTGGCATGGCAGGATCAGTTTGGTTGGCAAGATTGCTATTTGGTGAATGGCTCTTGGATGAACTTGCGTACAAGAAGTTTGAGCTGCCAAAGCTGGAGGCCATTGTGCGCAAGGAAGGAGTCAAGAGAGTTGAGTGATACAGATACTAACGCGTATATTCTTACACGGGAGATATAGTTCGATGTGCAATCTATTGATTATAAATAAGTTGAACAGCCCACGCATTCTACTAAGTCTGAAGCATTTTACTCCGTATTAAGGTGACGTTAAGATTCTTCCTCGTCCCTGGTTCTAGACTTTCCGGTACTTTCTTCTCGGTCCCTCAGGCCAAGGAACATTCCGAGCATCAATAAGTCGTAGCAAGCCTTCATAATTCCCGCTCCCGTAAGAACAACTATCCAAAGATTCTTGCCGGACAAGACGCCGGCGGCGCCGATTCCTCCAGCTTGTGCTAGAGTCTTGACGATGTTGACCACGCCTAGAACGGCAGTTCTTTCGTTGGGAAGGACTGCAGCGGCCAAGAATGCCTGCCGAGGGGCTTGATCCATGCTCTGCGTGCAGGCTCTTAGGGACAGGAATGCCATGGCAATCCAAGTACCAGAAGGGCCGGGCCCGGGAATAGGGATCATGGACAGAAACACAGCCGATGGCAAGTGCGTAAAGACCATCGTCTTGAGGGGCCCGAGTCGCCGCGCGAGGGGGAGGGCGACAAGGTTGGAGATAGTGGCGAGAAGGTTCGTCACTAAGAAGAGTGTCCCCAATGATCCTGGCTGCAGCGAGTGAACCGTCGTGAAAAAGTAGGTGAGCCATGAGGGCGATGCCATTCCGGAGGCGAACGAGTCAAGACAGAAGAGAATGAGTAGCCGGAAGAGGATCGTTTGTGAGAGCGGAGAGATATGTGGAAATAGAGACCGCAAACGTTGGATAATTGTAGGTGAGGGCGAGCTGGATCTGCTCTCGTCATCCTCGTTGCCTGAGTTGTCGGGCAGAAGTGGTCGAGTCTCGTCGTTGGCAGGTTTTGAGCTCGTTGAGCCGACTTCAACAGCGGAGCTGAGCCCCAAAATGAGCATCAACTTAATGAGGCCCAGAGCCGCATAGATCAAAAAAACAACTCGGTATGCCTCGTTCGTTGTCCACGAGTCATTGTCTTCGAGCATCTGAACGACCCAGCCGCAAGTGAGGGTTCCCAAAGCAGCACCTGCAGTTCCAAAGAGGGTGTACCACGCGAAGATGTCGCTGCGATGCTCCCTCTGAGTGAGCTGGGCCAGAACGGACTCCTCGACAGCACGAAATGGTCCAATCTCGTTCCCACTGGGACTAATAACGCCAACGATGCTGGCGACAACGAGGACCCAATAGTTGCCAAAGTACGCGAACACGAAACCACTCATAACCATCAATGCGGCCCCTGCAGCCAAGATCTTGCGCCTGCCGACTTGGTCGGTAATGGTTGTGAGAAAGAAGCTGATGACAACGTCCCCGAGAAGAGTCAAGGTCATGAACAGACCGATTCTCTCATCTGAGAAACCAAGGCTGGAAAGAAAATGGACAAGGATGAGAAACGAGGCGCCGTAGGCAAAGAGTCGCACGAAGCGCTGTAAGCAGAGCACCTTGGTGTCGCGGCATGATTGAGCAATGGCGGTAAAACCACTCTCAGCAGCAAGCTTTGACAGCCAAGACGACGTTTCAGACGACATGATGGCTTTGAGTTTCGTCTAGCTGAATTGTAATGAATGCTGTCTCTGTAATGCCGAACCTTCGCGCAGCATACCGGCACTTATAAGTCGATGGAGGCTCAAAATTGAAGTCCAGGGTCGGAATGTTGGCTCGGAGATATGATAGCGAAGGTCGGAGGACTCGGAGGTCAGCGCAAGGAACAAACGAAACGCACTCGCCCACTCTTTGCCTGTACGGGAGGTCACGTGGATGAGGCCACTTGGATGGCGTTTTGTTTTGCCAATGGCATGACTCCATTGTCCAAATGTCGTCAGCTTGGATGTCGCCGATCCTTGTCCAACGTCTTTTGAGTCCTCACCTTTGTGCGACGCCAAGTGCTGAGGCCAATTGGGATGTGGCATCCGGCACTAAAAATTTTACCCACGCCCCTGCTCCCGGCCGCGTCTCAACGCCTGTTGCACAAGACCGGCACCATCTTGCCGGCGGAGTGGCACCGACGGCAATTTAGCAGCCGTCTGGTCTGGGCAACGACTCGGAGATTCAACCGACGTTTTTCTTCTCTTTTCCGAGGGCTCGGCATCGAGTGTTCATGTAGCAGAGGCTGTCATCTCGAAAGTCAAGTCATGTGGCGAATAGTTGATGGTTTCGCTGACAGCATCGGCATGTTGTTGTGCATGACAGGTGTCCATTCGGACGGAACCCTGCTGAAGATCCTTTCTGTGCACAACCTTGTCAGAGCAGCATCCAGCCCTAATTCCAGGGCCATTGCAGGCGCTGGACACCTTTCCGTACTACTAAGACACTGCAGGGGTTCATAGCATACTTGGATCATACTGAATCACCCTCCAAATCATAACTTATGCGTTAGGAAATGAAGAGCTTATGAGGCATTGGATGATTCTTGGGCGTTAAATATGTAGTCACGTCTCAACCACCTTGAAATCAGTGAGCTCAGTCTCATTTATTTCTCCACAGGCATCAACGTACGGTTGTTTCTAGCTACCTCATCTCATCCCAGCCCATGCTGGCCAGCTCCCCGCGCAATACCTAACGCAGCCTCTAGTGCCGTTTCTCAAAGAAGTGGAAAAACTACCGTATTTTCAAAGTCAATCGTCTCATCGGGGCATTCGATGCGATCCATGCAAGTTCCGAAAACTCGGTCCCATAATCTCGTGTGTTTGCCATAGTTGCCACTCTTTTTCCAGCCCTTCCGGTGATGGAGGTCGTGATCTTCTAGTAGCAGATCGCAATTGAACCGTCTGAGAAGCCAAGCAAAGGGCGATGGAGTTGTAGCGTATATACGTAGGCCGCTGTGTCCACTCAATTCGGTGAAAATGACGTATTCCTGACAAAGCCACCACTCGTAAAACCCCATGGGGAAACCGAATAACTTGAGAGTCGCATACGTGAGCAAAGGTATGCCGGCGATGTCCCAAAACTCTTGTTCGGAATCTGCAAACAGGGCCAAGAGGGGGTTTGGGTGTTTCGTCAAATGATGTGTTCGGTGATATTGCCATAGAGAGTCGACCTCATGCATAAGTCGATGGTACCAGTAGAACCAAAAGTCGAGAATAATCCCATACAGACCGACCTCGAGGGGTACCATTTTCCAGTTGATAGTATTTGGGGCCTCGTAGCTCCGGTACGCAAGGATAACGGCCATCATGGACCGAAATGTCGATGTCGAAATCAACGATCGTAAGACCTTCTTCACGCTCCTGTCCGGTACGCTGTCGCGCTCGTGCTTGTCACCATCCAGAAACCCGTGGATATGGCCGAGGTCGCGCATGATATTGATTTGATGAATAGCGATAAGCTTGATGAAAGCACTGTAGAAGATAAAGGCGGCCACAGGATGCAGATTATACCCCGTGTAAGACACAAAAAGTTGATGAAGAATAAGCGGTGCACAGGCGTGTACGATAATCCATCGATGGAACTGCCAGTGCGGAACGTATGGAACTGGATCGCCCTTCTCGTGGATAGGGACCTTCCTGTCGAGGTCCACGTGGTGTAGGCCGAGTCGTTCAATAATCCAATGATGAGCTTTCCATAGACGTTTGTCGCGAAGGCGCCATGTCGATTTCATAGGATCTTTACTCTCGCTCATTGTTTCTGCAAATATGACAATTCGAGGAAATTGTTCGCGGTTAGGAACACAAGGCAAGATTTTCGCAGCTGATTGATCACTTACGATGGGATTCGTGGACGATGGCTGGTTCATTTAATAGTTTCGTCTGATTACCGCCCTCGGCTCTATCACGTTCACGTGTTTCATTGAGACTAGCTGTTAAGCTCGGACAATACGTCAGGTTATTAGACGGACTTCCTATTGCCTGCCCCTCACGCACCATCATCCGAGTGTTCTGGGGTTTGCTGCCAGGGTCTTCGTTGTTCTCCCTGGACCCTGGCTGTGCCGGCGACTGTTTCATTCGACCGAGGCATTCGCACTCGCATAGCCGCGCCAGTAAATATCAGATGACAACGTGTTTTCAAGATGATCTGCATTCTGATCGAGCAAGATAATTTGTGAGGAAGATCTACGCGTTGCGTCTTGATCCGTGGATAGCGTAGGGCATCGCAACAATCATCATCTAAAGCAGCCGTGTTATCACGATGTGGAAACATAAGACAACACAGAATAATTTCTTGCGGGGGATATAGTACGCATCTATCAGCTTGATTTTATGCCTCACCTTCGCGCCAATACCCAAGATACTTCACATGTTCGTCTGTTTCATGGAATATGACCAACAAGAATGTATGGCTTGTGCTTCGTTTCTTGGCTGAATTTGGACCTCGGGAGAATGACGATATTTTCGAGCATAAGATTGAGCGGGTCGCTCAGGGATCAGGTTACTATGCTGCTGACAGAATCTTCTAGGCTACATCGACGATCACGAGTGGCGCTCACGAATTTGACTTTCTCGGTTGAGTCCAAGGAGCTTCTGTAGGTCATGCATAGAAAAATGAGATGTGCAGTGCACGTGCAAACAGTTCGTAGTTCACTTCGCATCGAAAATCGAGAATTGTCATATGCCGGGAACATCCCCGATTAATCATCATGTGGTCTGGTATGCGACACGACAAGATTTCCTGTTCCGTCATTATTGAAAAAAGAGATTATGCGAATCAGTGGTATTAGGGGACATACGTGGAATCGAACAATACATGAAGCAAATCAGTCTGCAGTTGACACGTGTCTCCGTAAGTAGAGAACATAAGACGCAATCGAACAGCACATAATGCAGACCAATTCTCTGCCCAGAGAGTTCCAAAGCTGCTATGTTTGTCGAGGTCTATCTGGAAACCTAGATTGGTGTACCTCTCTGTCAACACCTATGTAATTGCCAACCCTAACGGTGTCCAGCTTTCGCCTCAACTAGCCAGATTTAAGAACAACAAAAGCAAGAGAGAAGGTAAATGCTTTTGAATGGGAAGAATGTCACTCTCACACCCCTCCCAAACCCACAAACAAGGTCTTATCCCGGCAGTCAGAAAATGGAAATGGTAAAGGGTTATCCAAATTTCTGGAGATGCGGTGAGGGCGATGTCGCCAAACGTATCGCAGACGAAGAAAATGCGTATTCATCACCATCCTCATGTTCAGTAGCGAAGTAGAGCGGGCTTGGAAGACCTCCGTGCGAACAAGGCTGATGGAGTTGCAGCTGAGTTAGGAAAAACATCCCGCAATAATCAACAGTCCAAGGGTGACGATGAAAAAATTCTCTCAAATTTTCTAATTACTTCTGATCGTAAATCACCCATGACTTTCATCGATCATACACTGGCAGCAGCAACCTTGCTGACAAGTCCAAGAATTCCAGCAGCCGTGACGGAAGTGTTAGATCTAGTGAAGCCCTCGGCGAACGGCAAGCGCTCTTCCTCTGGAGTAGAATATCAGCTTTGATTGCCCAAGATATCATGCCATTAAACTTACGGAACAGAACCTTGACCCATTCGGTCTTGGCGTTACCGTCGTCCAAGTTGCCAAAGATGGAGAGGTAAAGGGCAGTCTCAATGAAACTGAATTGAACACCGTCGGCAGTCAGACTGAACTCAGGGTTGGCGGCGGCCGCGGCCTGAAGGCGGGCAGCCCTAGCCTTGGCGGCAGTAGGGATAGAGATGGTCTCGTTGACGAAGTGGGAGGCAACGGTCTCCCAGATTTCCTCGTCGAAGCTGTGGTTGTCACCAAAATAAACATCGTTGCGGCTCAGACTGCCATCATGCTCAATGACTGGGTGAGTAATAATTAGCACTTTGTATGGATTAAGTCCGAGTCCTTAGATTGACTTACCTCCATGCTTATCAAGATCGTCCAAGTTGAAAGTGGCGTTGTTCCCGGTTGTAGACGTAAGAAGTGCTTTCTGTCCAACGAGAGTGGTTGCAGCAGGATCCAAGTTCACAGCTGCTGTAAAGCCAGTAATGAGGTCGGCCAGGGAGACGTTCAATCCGTTGCGAGGGAGGTAGCCATGGTTGGCAAGGGTGTTGACCATCGGGCACGGGCTTCGGCCTGTCAAAAGAATGTTAATGGGTGTTTCCTCCCAGAGCTACCCATCTCCACTGAGTCTACTTACGGTCATCGGACGTGGGAGGAGCCCAGTCATTCGCTCCACGACGTATCACGGCGAAGGCATCCACCGCGAGAGCAGCGGAGAGGACGAGGGCGGACTTGAACATCATCTTGAACTTGAGGATAGCGATTGACAAAGACGGAACGAGCAGGCCGGAACTAAGAACGAAGGACTGGGCTTGATGCAACGGTGGTTAGAAGGGTCCTCCATGGTAGCAACTGGCAGGACATCGTGGGGTAGATAAAGCCCAGTGGTCGATCAGAGCCGCTGCCCGTTCTAGAAATGACCCACTGAGGCTGTCAGCTCGCGGAGTTGCCGGTCAAGGTGACCAAATGTGACGCGATTCCCCATTAGTATCCAGAGCCGTGTGTAGTGACAGATGCAGGGCGACGATACGTGATATAAAATTGCACCTCCACCCCTGAATCGCATCTGCAAGGAACCTCATGATGGGGAACATGCCGAATCAGGGGCTGTCCCGATCGCCTGGTGGTAGCGGGGCTGCCAAAGACCCCTTTCCAAGTTTTTTCTGGCCAATGGCACCATTTTCGAAAGTAATCATCAGCATGGTAAAAGCCTCGGTAACTTCGGAGAGCTCTATTTTCGGATTGCTCCCGCGCGTTGTCGTGTCTTTCATTTTTTCCCATTCATGCCGCCGGTTCACAAGATATCCCGAGTCCATCAGGTACGCTGTACGATGGCGGCCTGGAAGCTGCTACATCCATGAAGTCCGCACTCAATGTGTCCCGCAGCGGCCCGCGAAGCTTGGGCGCTGGCGAAAAGTCTAATAAACTACAAAAAAGCTTAGGCTATGTATGCTATGCGAGGTAGCATCCTGTCATACGCCATGACACCGCACGGGCACGCGCAAGCAGGACGGATGCGACATCAGCAAACCACCAGTGAAGGAACTTTGGTCAAGGGATACCTATGACTGCATGCATTCCGATCCTGGTGGAAGGAGGCGGTGTTTTCAAAAGCACTCGCCCCTGGATCCGTCAGAGTGCCAGAGTCGCCCACGCCGATTCCTATTGATGCTCGTGCGTTGGCATCTCGACAGATCTTGTCCTACTATGGTCTGTATTCGATCAAGGTTGAAACCGGAGAAAAATGTCTTTCCACTAGCACCTATCGCCACGATGAAAGTTGACATGATAGCATGCTTGAATGCACGCAACGCGCCGGTCGCAAGAGGTCTGGGGCGAGGAACGTCGTGTTTCTCAATTCGGCCGCGTCTACCGTGTTCGCAATCACAATACTCACTTGCTCTGGCTGCAGACCGGGAGTTGCAACGAGTTACCTATGGAGCGTAGACGCAAAGCCATTCTGGGCGCAGACAGTTGGCGAAAGCCATGCGCATTTGCAATAGCCTCGTTGCTTAGACTGCGCGCCCGCTGCACTGTAACGAACGGGACTTGCTAAGCAACCCCAACCCCGATGCTAACATACTGAGAGCTAATACCTAAGCCACGTATGTATCCATGTTGGCCTCGGGCTGTACGGATAGAGTAGAGAGTCTTGTGCTGGCAACAAAGATGGCTGTGCTGGTCTGTGAGAATGGCTTGTGAATGCCGGTGCGAGTCATCCCGGTCCCTACTGCAATGTCGCTCAACGTGAAGGCCTCCACGTAGTGAGTGTGTAACCCCGAGCCTGTCGTACTCGGGCCTGGGACAATCTGGAAGTAGAATGTCAAGTAAAAGCTGCGCCCAAACATTGCCGTCAAGGGGAACGTCACCAGAAGCCCTTCCCCAAGAACAGCACCCTGTTTAATGACCGCGGAGGCATCATAGCCCCGACCTGCACAAGAACGACAGCGGCGGTCGGGGAAGCAAAACACAACAAAACCGCTCAGACGACCTTGAATTTATGATCTCATCTCACTGAAGAGCAAGCGGCAAACTCACAATAGGAGGTACCAGGAGGGCAGTGCCCAGCGGATAATCCGCTGGGCAAGCAACAAATCCGCAGCGGATTTGTTGCTGTTACCTTTCATTTAAACGATTTGCAATCTCGACATATCTGCGGACACCGAGCTTGATGCCTCGCCACTCGAGTATGAGACAGGAGGGTAGACTGCTGCCTCTAAGAGTGATCCCCTAAGACCAGCCAATATGACGCAGAACGAAGCTGAGCCAAGGGGCAGATTGATCCAGAAACCTATGCTCCAGATTAGTCTGCCCGAGTCTGTGAATACGCCACCTAAAGGAGATCTCACTAACGATGCCACGCCAAATATAGTTGTTTGAGATCATGAAAAACAAGACGGGGCGTAACTTCATCGGAGCGGCCAGCTTCAAGATATCAATTGCTCCAAAGTACAACACAGCCCCTCCTATAGCCGCAATAGTACGACCGGCGATCGTTGCTATCGAGCGAGGGACACCAACTAGTGAACTGACCCGAAAGGTAATGAGACCAGTAAGGTAAGGCGTGAACTTTGCCCAAAGGAAGTTATAACGTGGTTTACTATGGACGGCTGGATACGAGCTCCGGCACCACCAAGCATCGTCCAGCGGGTGAAGATCATCCGTGATACCCGGGATAGCCGTTGCTCATGACAGTCCATTAGCCAAGTGATTCATACTTGGCTTTGCAATGTTGACTACGGAACAAGGATGATATTGTCCATTGCGGCCGCGAACAGGACCAAGCAGAGCGACAAGACCAAGCAGAGCGACAAGACCAAGCAGAGCGACAAGACCAAGCAGAGCGACAAGACCAAGCAGAGACCGATGCTTAGCAACACGACGATAGCCGAACGCTGGAGCTTTATGTCCATCGCTGGTTTTGTGACACGTGCATGGCTTTTCTGATGTCACCGGCATCGTGTTCTTGGTCAATCTTCTCTATGCTGCTGGTAACGTCCTTTGTTACCTAGTAAGCTTTGGCGGTCAGACGGTGGACAGCAGACGCTGTGGTCAAGGGGCCCCTGGTATATTAAACGACTAAGACCGAATCTTTTGTGGTAAGCCGTTTGCCTACGAAAAGGCGTGTAGAAGTCAGTGAAAGCCGCGGATTGACTGTTTCAGCGGTATTGAGTTTAAGCTTGGGCCGTAAGCTCTGCCTACGGGTCCTCGGAACATTTTCATGCGGCGATACACTCCGTTGCGTTAACAGCGTCCGCCCCGCAACTTTTAGCCCAAAAAAGGCAAAAAAAGGGGTTTTTTACTGAAAAACTACTAAATCGTCCTAAACTTCGCACACTAATAAGTCTATGCGTATATACTACGCGTATATAAAACTTATATCAGTCGATAGCCCTTAATTAGGCGGTTATAATAATATCTTTTTTATTCTCACGTATTACGTATATATAGAGTTATTAAAGTGTGAAGTTTAGGTTAATTTAAGGGGTTTTTAGGGAGGATACTATAAATGCTACGTATAAAGGGTTTCGTTTTTTCTTTTTAGTATTATATTTAGTATCTACTAGCCTAAAACCTCCCTAAATCCCCCTAAACTTTATATTTAGATAACTTTATGCGTATATAATGCGTGAGAATAAAAAATATATTAATTAATAGCCCTTAATTAGGTGATTATAATAATCTTATTTTTATTTACGCGTATTATGTACGTATAGAGTTATTAATATGTGAAGTTTGTGATAATTTAGGGGGTTTTTAGGCTAGTAGAAAATTTTCCTTCTAGGTTAAAATTAGGGGTGGACGCTATCAACGCAACGGAGTGTATAGACTACACTCCGTTGCATTAACAGCGTCCGCCCTGCAACTTTTAGCCTAAAAAAGGCAAAAAAAGGGGCTTTTTACTGAAAAACCACTAAATCGTCCTAAACTTTGCACACTAATAAGTTTATGCGTATATATTATGCGTATATAAAACCTATATTAGTTAATAGCCTTTAATTAGGCGGTTATAATAATATTTTTTTTATTCTTACGTATTATGTATATATAGAGTTATTAAAGTGTGAAGTTTAGGTTAATTTAAGGGGTTTTTAGGGAGGATACTATAAACGCTACGTATAAGGGGTTTCGTTTTTTCTTTTTAGTATTACGTTTAGTATCTGCTAGCCTAAAACCCCCCTAAATCCCCCTAAACTTTATACTTAGATAACTCTATACGTATATAATACGTGAGAATAAAAAATATATTAATTAATAGCCCTTAATTAGGTAATTATAATGATCTTATTTTTATTTACGCGCACTGTGTACGTATAGAGTTATTAATGTGTGAAGTTTGTGATAATTTGGGGGGTTTTTAGGCTAGTGGAAAATTTTCCTTCTGGGTCAAAATTGGGGGCGGACGCTGTTAACGCAACGGAGTGTACCCAGGCCTTGTCTTAATTACCCGACTACAATACCTCTTCGGGATTCAACTACACTACCTGGAGCATCTGAGCCATCTGCCCTTGCAAAATACGCTGAAGGGTCAGATGGTGAGCACAGGGGCCACGTGAATGTCATTCACTGTGAGGAGATCAGATTTGTGGTTCATTCACCACCAAGTAGTCTGCTTATGACTTTTTCATGTAATCTCTGGTGTGCTGCTATGCACTGAAGTTTCTGCGTTGGAGTTACTAAGTCACTGGCTTCGAAGGACGAAACTTTTAAGACCCGTTGTTGGTGATCTCCGCAAGCACTGTTTTGAGTAGCAGGATGCAATCTGGCGACCGGAGCCATCGTGAATTCCGTGGCTAAAGTTGTTCTGACCTGATTCAGGGACAGGGCGTCAATCATCAATGCGATGGCTTCCACGACAAACTACTAACCAGGTATACTCATACATCCACTAACCCTTTCCGCCTCACGAGCCTCCGCGCTCTGCATTGAAAGATCCTCCTCAGGCTTCAAGTGTGGCTGGACAGTGCCATATGTTGGGTTCAGCATTTCTTGGATTTGAAGCCTGGCACCCCGTCAGAAGGAAACGGCCACTGGTGAGAGTGATGGGCCTCGAAACATTTCTGATCAGTGTACTGCGTAGTACCTGCAGTTGCAAAGCTGTTAGTAAAACCAAGTCAGATCTTGGGTGGGTTACCCCCAACAATGGGTTTCATGTAATATGCATCGTTGGATAAACTACCTAACCAGACTTCCCTATGAAACATTGCTGTGTTGACTCCTAGGTGGTTTTATGATGTATCGT